AACTTTTCTACATCACCCAATCGATGGGGAGATGGAGCCCTCAAATTTTGTTAATACCGGGAGCAAAATTAAAATTGAGACAAAGGGACTAAAAATAATAAGAGGAGCATGAACGAAGAAAATTTTGCTATTTCATTAAATCCCATCGGAATTTAAATTGACAGTTGAACTCTTCATTTTAATTATTTCCAATACTAGAATTAAAAACACGGAAGAGAATTAAAAATAATGGAAGAAAAGAAAAACGAAGGAATAATTGTTAATTAATTAGATTTCATCGGAATTTATTTATGATAAAATTGGTCTGCATTATCATTCTTCTCGGTGACCGAAAAAAAAAATAAAAAAAATTGAAAATGATCAAAGAAAAGAAAACTAGTGATTAATTAATATTTGATTACATTCTATTTGGATTATTCGCGATGGGATTTAGCTCCGGTTTATTTATTTATCTCGATCCGAACGACTCTCACCGTTTCCCAATAATTGTTATCCCTTACGCAACTTACCTGGTCTTCCTGATTCCTAGCCTCACCTCAACCTGTGTGTCACGAGTGAGTGCGGATTGGATGGACAGCGAGGTGCTTGCCGCCATGTTGCTTGGTTGTGCCGCTCGGCTTCATTGCTTCGGTGTGGCCGCTGGTTCGATTCGAACACATGGTTCGGGGAGGTTCGGTACTATTACGGGGTTGCAACATTCTACGGTATTTGACATATTTCAGGCTCGGTTAACCGAACGGTGAAAAAAGGGGGGGGGAATTAAGATTGTCAGGGAAAGTTAGCCGCGGGCAGGCTCTGCAGTATGAATGATCAGCGCCAGATGTATCTAGTCATCTTCAAAGGTGGCCGGAGACAAGGCTTTACTCAGAGGAGAAGTCGAGCTTAGAACGCTGTGTGAGCGGGCTCGTGATCAGCTAGACGGGAGAACGAAATCAATGAGACGAGTGGGGGGGGGGGGGTTACGATGTAGTGAGCCAGGCGTTCACAGCCGCAGCAGATCGGGGTGATAGACGGACGCATCTTGTGAGGTGAATGAGTTGAGGAGTTGGCGATGTGAGAGAAGCGAAGAAAGGGCGAAGTGGAAAGATGGAGGATTCAGAGACCTAGGTGGGGACAGCCTGCAGCAGAGAGCGCTCAGGGCGAGCGGTTAGCGAAATCATCGGACGGGGCAGTAGGCCGATGTGCCTGTTCGCGGGAGCTCTCTACGGAGGTGAGAACCTGTCTCACCCGAACCCTCTCAAGGGAGGAGGAGCGAGCGACGAGAAAAAAACGGAGGTGGGGATGAGCTCTTTTATGCAGTCGACAGGTAACTCTTATTATACTGGTGAACGCCCTAGTACAGGCTGTGACGGTGCACGACTAATCTTGATATAGCCATACACTTCTCCATTCTCTTGCGGCAGACTCGTTCGACATCCCTATTGACGTGTACTTAACTGCTGCGTCAGGCTACGGGTGATCACTGGAACTGTGAAATATAAGTTTCCTCCGCGCGACCATATGGGTGAGAAACGGGCATTCTTTCAACACAGAGCAAATGAGTATTGCGAAGAAGTATCCTTCGAACGTCAGCCTGAATGATCATTCACCGCAGACTAGAACTGAACCTGTCGTCGATCACGCATGCCGGCAAGAAGAGTATGAGAGGGACAACGAGAAAAAGAGTGGATGAACAGGTATGATCAGGGCCATGGACGAGTGGATAAGGAATAAAGAGAAACATACACACTGAGAGTCGGCGAGAATCTAACAATATCATTGGTATTATTATTAATTATGTTATTACCATTGCTATAATTGTCAGTTCACGGCGTGAACATGTGTTGGCTAAGAGAGTCTGAAATGACCAAGGAGGTATCAACATGTTATTCGTTAAAATATGACATTATACTGTGTCCTTTTTCTAACGAATTCATTTTTGGCTGCAGCCTAAGCAACGTAGGCATGCCCATCCAGGGCTTAACCACATGCAAAAGCGTGCTGAGATCCGTACTTGTGAAACTTTATAAATGAAATCCCAAATGCGGAAGCGTGTTGAGACCCACACATGTTAGGCACGCCACCCGGGAACCCTGTGCGGAAGTGTGTTGGGATCCTTACTTGTTGAACTTCACAAAAGTGTTGGTGATCCTGTGGGGAAGTGTGTTGGGATCCATAGTAGTCAAACTTCATAAATGAATAACGATTGGCACGCCAAACAGGGAACCCTGTGCGGAAGTGTGTTTGGATCCTTACTTGTCAAACTTCAATTTCAAAAATGTAATGAAAAACGTTATATTGTGACACTGTCCTCTTTCTTACGAATTCATTTTATATTGCAGTGTTTTCACGTAGGCATGCCCATCCACTCGCCCTGAATGCGAAAGTTTGTTGACATCCATACTTGTTGAACTTTGTAAACAAATTAGCAATGTAATCAGATAGAATTGGAGACTCTGAGTATAATTCTTTCGGTTATCCCAAAGTTACACATGCAGGTTCCTCGTCTCGCTCAAGACAGTTGTTTAAATGTATGATGAAATCCGGACTTGTTCAGAAGACTTGTGACCCTGACAGTGGGCGGAAGTGTGTTGAGATCCATACTTGTTAAACTCAAAGCTCACATATGTGATGAAGAAGGTGTCATGATCGAACCGTCGTTGGTTAACACATTAAATTTTCATTCACTTGTTTATCCGTAAGTTATGCAAGCGCAGTCATCGTCTCACCTGAGACGGTTGTTTGGATGTTGAAGAGATCCGAACTTCTGCATATAGGCACGTTCATCATCTCGCCCGACATGAGGGCACTGAGATCCATACTTATTCACAATTGTGATAAGTGTAGAACTTTAAATTTTACTTATTCACAATGAATCCGCACTTAAAATGATCATGCGAAGAAGGTTTGGGCACGGACGCAAGGTTGTTGGTTACATGTAATGCACGTGGTCACAAGGCATGTGATTCTATGCCCACGCAAGAGACACGAAACAACTGGTCCTTACATTTATTAATTCATCTACTGACCAATTTATAATGCATCTAAAACAATAAGATTTGTCACACACAAGATGACATTCCTCATGCATCACCGACTAATTTCACAATCATGTGTACACTTCTTGTTGAACAGAATTTGAAACATGGAACACGTCACACATTATGTTCCATGTAGTTGAACAGAATTCGAAACATGAAACATAATGTATGACATGTTCCGCTGCATGAGAAACGACTGCGACGTGACAGAGATTACGAAGTCTATACATGACGTTGGCCATGCAATGAGTTTGACAAAGACAACTCAAACTCGGAACGATAAAAGAAAGCAATAACGTTGTCCGAACGATAAAAGAAAGTAATGTCGTTGTCAGGAGGACAGTTGGATAATGTCTCGATTTACAAAATGTAATGAACAACCAATGGAACACCTTAAAAAAACGTATCGAAGTCAATCAAATCCATCAAAGACAACGATGTTCTAGGATACATGATGCTAATTATCGTCTAAGAAGCGGAATATCTTTACAAGAGAACCGGAAAGGCGGTCGATCTCCACGTTGCAACAACGTCGCATGCATCAACATGAACACCCCGCAGCTAGCTGTATCCACTTGTCTCGGAACTCCATCCACCACAACATTTCCCACTATCGACTTCCAATTCCTACCCGACCGCCTATGTGATGTTTGACGTTCCAAATACTGTACAATCAACCCGAAAACACTAATGTAAAAACTTGAATCAGTCACAATGCGAGGAAAAGAATAAAAAATTTCGAGAACGTCATCTCTCATGTTGACGGAAAGGAGGATCCAGTGATCATCATTTTTGTGGACAAGAACAGAGATAATATCGTAATGAAGCAAATCTACGTTTTTAGCCCACCTCTGCACCCCACCGTGTCCTTGAAGTTACAGTTTACTGAAGAAGAACGAATTAAAGCTGAAGACTTGAAGGCCTGACGAGATGTCACGTGACCCACATGCGGTCGACCCCAACAACGCCATATAGAAATTGACCACCTCATCATTCACCCTGCCGTCGATATGCAAGAGGGTGAGGAGATCTTTTGCTGCAATCCGGAATTGACCATCGGCCAGTATAAAGAGAACAGTGTGAGGTGGCACCGAGCCCCGTATAATGTCGTCCAAAACCCGCAAGCTCAGAGGCACAATTGCTGTAGCGAACCTTTTCCCGTGTGCTGCACTTGTGGCCCGCACTGCACAACATCGAGCAAAGGACACGTGGGGTAGTGAGAAACGGAGTTCTAGGGATTGCCCCCGGTGCATGACGCGTTGCTAAGTACTTCTCATACATGGCCTGACCCCTACTCACAAATCGTGGATATGTCCCTTTCTCTGGGGCAAGAAGGGATAGACATTCCTCAATGGCAACGGTGTACTCCTTCTTCCCAATCTCGACATCAACCCCTGATGCCTTTAATATATCCTTCTGTTTTGTAGTCAACCCGGGGACTTTCCGCAATATGTGTTCTGAATATTTCGAGGACCTCCGTGTTTGAGATGACCCCACCCCTGTACAACAGAAGAAAGACAGAACGGAAAATGAATACACGTTTCCAACACGAATGCGACGGAAGTGACAATGTGAGAACCATACAATCGCACAGACGCAACAGTCAAGCAGGACCTCTCCGACCATAGGACCCTGATTCCGCGTGGACATGTGCACCTAGGTGTGTGTGTGCGACTGGAAAATAAAACGACTGCAACATTTGAGCTCAACACCCCCGCACTTCATAAAGGAAAACCACCACAACTCACAGAAGCCGAAGACCAGCAATCCTTGAAGTTCGGATTGCGGCGGACTTTTCAATACACCAGCCCCACAGAGACTGACCACATTACGCATCGACATAGGAAGTTCGGATCCCGACGGACTAAAACCGACACTATTTCCGAGATGGGAAAATCGTCAGTCCATCTACTTGGCCAATTTCTTAGCCCCTTGGCCACTTTCTCAACCGGGGCAGATCCTTCCTTAGATGGAGTGTAAGGTTTTCAACGAAGTTTACTCTGCCCTCGGCCAGCAACCCGGCTGACTCACAGATAAGCCGATGAGATGTATTTGGAAGGGCTATGCCGGCATCCGAAACTTCCCGTATCGGCAGACAGTGTGGACAGTCGTCGAGTGTATGGCGCGGACTGTAGTCCGCCGACATCCGGACTACGACGGAATCCCTCCTCTAGTTTTCGTAATCCAGGACGCGCAGGCAGTGTGGCGTTCTTCACGGCTTGCCGGTCTGTTTCTCTCTCCGCTCTTTCGACGGGGAATTTGGCACGGGCAAAGCGAGCACGTCGAGAGCTTGACTGCCGACCCTGGATTTTTTCGGGGACGTGACATGTTGTCGTCTCCTGACCTCGACTTCCCCTCCGGCGGCAAGGGTGGCCGGCAGTACAGGAGACTTCGGCGGCGACGAAGCGAGGGCAGCTGCCACGGAAGATGCGACGTTGCCAGCGTCGTCGATGTCAGGCGTTATGGACGGATGGGCAGACACGTGGTGATCGCCGAGGATACCGTCGATAACTTCGTCGATGCTTATACGACGACTTGTTTTAGACGGGCTAATAGCAACGGAAGCCTCGTCGAACCGGTGTTGCAAGTCGACAGGAGACATCAGTGGTCGTACCGCATAATCTTCAGGCTCTGCGGAAAGACTGCTAACCACCTGTGTTTCCATCTCCATTGTTGTGGCATCGTCGTCGACATTATCCTCGTGATGCTCTCCGTACAGTTGTCCGAACTCGTCAGACGACTCTCCAGATCGGACATCGTCCTCACTGTGCTCCACTTCGTCGTCTCCAGATCCGGCACCCTCCCTTCCTCCAAGCAATTGCAGTAGCTCCGTTTCGCCCGCTTCCTCCCCTTCCTCCTCTTCTTCCCCTTCTTCCTCCCCTTCTTGCGTTTCCTTCCCCTCCTCCATTTCCTCCCCTACTTCCTTTCCACGAAACTCATCCCCTCCCGCGACACCCGTGTTGAACCCCGATGACCGCCCTTCCGTCTTCGTGCATGCTGCCCCTCTCGGCGGCACGACAATCCCTGGCCGACACCCCCAGCCCGAAGAAGTTCGGATCTCGGCGGACTTCGTCGTCTCCGTGTCGCTGGACCCTGCACTTGCAGCCTCTCCCTGCAATTCTTGCGGTCGTAACTCCCGCCCAGGCGACACCTTTCTGTCCCGCGCCGCAATGCTGCCCTGGCTTGGCTCCCCCGACCCCGAGCGGCTTTGCAGTCCGGACCGCTCGGGCGGCTCCTCACCCGACGTACTTCGGATCCCGACGGACTTCAACTTTCCGCCGGAGCGGCTGCCGAGAGCAACCGAGGCTGCCAACGTCTCCCTCGCTGAGCCCACGGACGAAGTCGGGAGGTCGGCGGACTGTGTCGTACGCTCCGACCAGGTGCCTGTCGACGGAGGCCAGTCGACGGCGAAACCCGCCAGCCCGCCAGCCCGCCTCTGCCTCCCGGTGTCGTGTTGCGGCCGTGAGACCCTCCCTCCACACTAGGCGGGATTCCTTTGCCACCCCCTGCACCACCACCCCCGTCCCCTCCACCTCCAGTTGACCCCCCCCCGGAACTGCCGTCCGGCCCACTTGGAGGGGGCACTTTCCAGTCCACCGTGCCCTTCGACGGACTCGTGTCGAGGTCGTAGTAGTCCTCCGTCAATTCCAACCAGCACTTGTCCTGAAGCTCGTTGAACAGTCGACCGGCTGCGGAAATGACGGACAGGTCGCCGGCTGCAAATGTGTCATTTTCGGCCGTCACTTTTTGGAGGACCGAAATCCTCGCGAGGTGCAGGAAGTTGGACTTCGACTCGCGCGAGAAAGACACCCATCCCGCCCTAGGGATTGCGACGGCCATGACCCACTCGCCCTTCCGTATCGCTGGCTGGATGACTCCTGAATGCCAAATCATGTCATGGCCCCAGTCCACCTTAGGCGAATGGCGTTGTGGCTCAAGCAGGAAGTGGATGTGGTCATCCATCCAAGACGGATGATCGGGCGGGATGTCGGACCCGGGACGCAAATCGGGCGGGGGGACGGCCAGAGCTCTGAGTCTCTCCAGCAACTTCATCGGCGTGGTGCCCGGCGTCGGTTTGGCCGTCGGTGATACGAGGGCTGCAGCGCTTGGTGACGGACCGGCCGACGAGGACCCTCGGGCGTGGTCCGCCGGAGGTGGGTCGTACTGCAGGTCAAGGCTCTCGGTGTCGCTCTCCTCCTCCTTCGCGTTGGCGACGAACTCCACACCTGTGGCTTCCTCGTCATCAGTGGAGATCAAGGAAGCGTAACTGGCTAACTTCAACTGCTCCTCGAGCTCCATGAAGTACAGCGACTACAGCCTTTCGAGAAACGTCTTCGCGTTCATGCGGAAGGCGAAGTGGTAGTTGTCGAGCAGTGTCAACATGTGGTCCTTGCGGCGGACGTACTCGGCGTCAGTGTCCCTCCGCGGCCGCGTTTGAAGGAACAAGAAATTGTATATCTTCTTCCTCTTCCTCTCGCTCAACTTGAACCACATGTCCGTCTTGCTGCTCCACACCCGATCCCGTGTCGGCTTCACTACCATGAACTCACAATTGTGCTCGCCCGAATTCATCTCACTTTTCACCACCTGCATCGTGAAATGCAAGAGGTCGGAGTTCCCTTCCATTGCGACAACGTGCCGACCAGCCTTCAAAAGATCCCAGACGCTTCGCGCGTGTGGTTTCCCAAGGAACACGACACCCTCTCCCTTCTTGCTAAGGAAATCTAGAAGACCTACGAATTGTGTCGGATTATGTTCAATATCCCTGTAGACACTTCCCTGTCGTTCCGGCGCCACCAGCGACCAATCACATGGAATGAAGGGAATCTTGGACACATCCGTCTGGGTGACCCTCTGAGGCAACCGCACCGCAGTAGCGACACCCTTGGGCAGCTTTCCCTCGTAGACCACGGACGTGTTGACGCGCAGATCGTGACCCTTGAAGAGGATGTACATGCGGTCGTCCTCCGTGTATAAATTGTTCCCGATGGGGAAACTTTTCTTTTGCTGACTTCTCCGCACCCACTTCCCTTCCAACAGCTTAACGAAAGAAAGATGGTGCATGCTGGCGAGAAACGAGAGGTTGTGCTGCCGCGACACGAAAACAACGAGAGTCCAATGCGACGGACACCATGTCTGAAGATAGGAATTCAAAGTCTCCCACGCTTGGGGTTTCCACAGTTTGAGGTCAACCGACTCGCACAGATCGAGGACGAACGTGTGGCTCTTTGTAGCAGCCACTGCTTCCTTCAGCTCTGCGCCCCTGACTTCTGCCTCCAAAGGGTCGTTACCGAACGGCGCGATGGATGTCACGTCCCCCGTGTCTTTCCATTTGATGTGAACAATGCCTTCAGCAAGTGTGATTTCCCGGCTCTTCAGTCTGCTCCCATTCAACACGGAGAAAACCTTGTTTCTCCAGTCGACGGACAACTTCTTGTGACCCGCCAACTTCTTCGTCACCTCAATCGAGTTGTCCTAGTCGCAACCCATGTACGGTGGGCAGTCCTTGAACAGCGCTGAGTCGGAAACATGTTTCCTGCTATTGTCCCACAAATCGTCATCCAATCCCTGACCTTCAAACTTCTTGAACACTGCGGACCTCGATTTCAGGAAAGGGTACTTTTGGATCCAATCCGCGTCCGGCCTCTTCTCGTGTTTGAATTGGTAGTAATTTCACAACCGGACCAGCACGAGGTCGCACTTCACCAACTGCACCATGTCCTACACGCTGAGCTTCCCCAACTTCGCCAACGACGGGGAGCCGGCCTGGACCCAAACGACCTCACAAGCAAGCACCTTCTTCAGAACGCGACACTTCTCATTATCGGTGAGTGATTCCATCGCTTTCCAGCAATGCACGTTCGGGTCCGGCACTTGCACGAACCAATCACCCTCCTCTTTCTCCTTTTTGCCTTTCTTAGTAGGCGGCTCCACGGAGACGTTGTACACCACCTCGTTTCTGCCCAACTTATCGTTGTCGACGTAGGCGACCCCAGGCTTGACGTTTTTTACCTTCTTCTTCTTCATGATCCACTTTGCTCCGTCATGGCTCAACAATCTACCCGTCTCCCACTTTTCAAAAAATTCCACGGCCAGTTTCCAGACATTTTCTCCGGCTATCGCGAGAGGGAAATAAGAACGAAGGGCAGCATTTTGCTTCTTAATGGCATCCTCTTCCTTTTGATCCGCGAGAATCCACAAGCTGTTGTGCGGCGCCTTAGCGCTGTTGTACAGAACTTATGCCAATTCCGGACCTGATCTTGTTTTCCGCTTGGGTTCCCCATCACAGCCCTCGGGCAGCCGTCATGCTTCCACTGCCACCGAATGTCTTTGATAGACAGTTTCAACTGTCTGGGAGGCGCCTTGAGGTCCTTCTTGTTGTCCTGTAGACTAACAAGAAAATACCCTTCGAAGTCATCGTCCGAAAAATACACCATTCTTGCTGGCCATCGCTCGAAATTGTACCTCTTCGCCACCTCGCTGCCGAGCAGCGATCGGGCTGCTGCCGTGTTATGCTGCCCACACACCACGTAGTAGTAGTATTTTCCCGCCAGCTCGTCATTCCACTCCTCCGGCTTCAGACGTTGTGCCCTGGTCCCAGGAGTTGGTTTTTAAAGCCCCAGTGGTGCGAGATTGAGGGTCGGCAACTCGTACGTCTGTTCTTTATTTTCGAACGCCAAGCGCATCGCTTCTTTGATCCCCTCAACCAGGACGGGATCCAGGGACCGCTGATTGTACAAATCCTCCCATTCCTCGAGGTCGACGACCTGAGCTGGGCTAATCTCGTACTCCCGCCTTGTCCTGATGCCGTCTTTGTACTCTAGGAAGTACCCGGCGTCCACGTCGATGGCAAGCCGTGGAGTGGAAGGTCCCGACGCAGGCTGCTTCTGTTTCGAAGCCGGACGTTTGCTACCCGGGCGGTCCTCTTCCACCCCCCTTCCCTTCCTTTTCTCCCCCGTAGTGTTCGGGGTCTTGGTCTTCTGTTTTTTCGAAGAGCCGGCCAAGTTCTCTTAACGATCTCCCCTCCTGTTTTGGGGAGTGCCCTGTGTTCCCTCCCCGCCCACAACCTCGTCGTTCGTGCCATGGCGCTCGGTAGGCTCCAAGTCGAGCCCACACTGGACTGCCTCTTTTCCGGGGTCCGCTGCGTCCTCTTGTCGAACCGGGGTCCCTTGCCGGACCCCTGGTATGGACAGCACAGACCGGTCTCTTCTGCTCAACGGCGAAAACGGCAGACGCGTCGGCGCCTCATCTTCGCTGTTGTCAAATTGACCTCCGCTCTCCTCCCGTTGCAGCTGCGTAGCTTCACTGGAACCCAGATCCCCCCCCTCCCACAAATCCCCGCTGGACTCACAACCGCCGCACAGCTGCAAGGGCGTTGACAGCTCCTAGTCGGGACCGACTTTGCAAAGGACGTCGAGGTCGACCTCCTTCGCCTCCAACAAGTCAAAGAACTCACGACCCAAAACGAACCCTCCCTGCCGCCGGAGCTCGTTGTAGAATGGGGTGTTCGCAGAACCCGCTCCGAACCCCTCGAACAAATCCATGTCGAGAAGCGCCCCACTGATATTGGCGACGACGTTCCCCCTCACATCGTAAACGTTTTTCATAATGAACCGTCGACGACCGCCTTTCGCATCCTCCCACCGCAAGACAGCCCCCAGAACCCTACGGCGCTTGTTGGCCTCGACGAAGATCACAGGACCACACGGCTGTTCAAGTGGGTTTGAAGCATCCCCACAGCACCAGTCGACGAACCATTTCGACCTTGCGTGGTCCGACCACGATTTCGAGGCCGTAGACGAACGTTTTGTGGAATATTTCCCTCATCCCATCCCGGAGGTCGCGACAGCCTCTCCCTCGGCCCTCGACGAAGACATCGTGTCTGCAGACGACAACGAAAAAGAAGCAAACCACCAGAGAGCGTCAAGTACCAGTCAAACCACAACGCAGGCGGCAACGAAGCAGTGGCTGCTACAAGGGGCAAACATTTCACTCAACACGTTTGTCACATCATGCCGTTGGAAGACCTCGAAGTTCGGATCCCAGCGAACTTCGAACGCGAAGTTCGGATCCTCGGAGTCGGACTCTCCCTGTCGCCGGGTGGTTCGTGCGAACCACCGGGCACCACGAAGACCAGAGATAAGCCGACGGACATCCCGAAACGTGAAGTTCACCATGATCCGAACTTCAGGACGATGCGACACTGACATGGAAATCTGGTTGAAAAGGAGAAGTCCGCCTGAATCCGAACTTCTTCTGATGTACAATTTGACGGTATGCGCAGTTCGACACATGTTGATGGTGGTCGGGAGACAACCATCTCGAGCACGGAAAGTTTTTCTGAAGATCGGTTGGAGGCGGGCGTAGACCGCGAGCATGTCCAAGCGGAATGGGTGGCAGGACCTTTTCGAAGGCCACGCTGGACGGGGTTTTGGTCTCCTCCCAGCACTCGAAGCTCGGACGCTAGTCGGACGGGCCCGTGATCTCCAACCACGGAGATATGACGGAACCTAGATTGGAACAGGCGAGCACGAGAAGTTCGTCGGGATCCGAACCAACCCGGTTTCCAGCAGTGAGAGAGCCAGAGAGAGAGTGACAGGATCTGAATGCATGTGGGTTTTGAAATTGACGGGGAACAAGCCAGACCACACTCGCATCATAGGCTACTCGATAACTTGCAGTGCGCCGGTACCTGAGTTTCTGCACGGTTACGAAAAAGCTCGAGGCGCGTCAGCCCATGCAGACAGCGCCCCTAAGCCATGCTCGTGGTGCCGGGTGGCTCGTGCAGTCCGCCCGACACCAGCAAGACCGAACAGTAACCGACGCACAGCCAAAACGCGAAGTTCGCCTGGATCCGAACTTCGACACGGCGCGACATGGAAAGAGACGGCGTCAGAGACAGACGATCCGTAATTCGGTGGTTGTTGAACCGAACGTTCTGTAAGTTGAAGAAGGCTGTTTGTGAAAACAGCTGGAGATATCAGAAGTGAGAATGCTGACATGAGTAACAAAAAATCAGGTGAAAAACATGACGATCAGGAATTTGGACCACAAGTGTACGGTATAGCGTGTACTCGCAACTGCTGGCTTTCACACCTCTCTCCACCACTTCCAATCTGCCATTTTCAGCAGCACACAGGCCTCCCAGACCTCCCCCTTCTATTCCCTTAAACACAAGGTTTGACTGCCCGTCCAGATCCACTGACATTCGGGGTTCCCCAGGGATGAGGTCGTGAACCGAAGCCATACAAAGCATTCATTGATGATCCGTATACATGGATCTGCGGTTCGTCGACTGATGCTCTCTCCGAGAAGACGGACATGTATTTCATCTTAACAAAAACTCCCGGTCGTACTAAGGAATTCCCTATACAGTCCCGTATGTCAGACACTTTCTCCTCAACCTCATGATGCAACGAAAAGTTTTGGACCCGCCCCGCTATCACCAAATCTCGCCACCCATCTACAGGCTCGCGCGTCGGCACGAATCTCGACCCCTCAATTACCACCTCGTTGCGTGACACAAGCACAACTGCATCGACGAGTTTCCTGCTCTTGTTCGAAGCAGCTACGCATAGAACTCTGGCGAAATCAGACCCGAACTTAGTTAACCACACACAACAGTATGACACAGCTTGTGGACAATTCCCGGGGCACCGGAGTGGGTACTGCTCCAGGAAAGAGCAGTGACGAGTGCAGTCCATCAACTCTTGTTTTCGCGAGCCTCCCCAAGTTCGTGGCGACGATCTGACGTAGTGGCACTCGAGGCGACTGAAATAGCGGCTAATGCAGCTCAGCGCTCTGCGCATACGGTTCAGGAACTTGTGTCCGAGGACAGCGTCAGGCAGCGGGATGAGGTTCCCAAACTCTAACATGTTGGTGAACTTGTACTGGCTTGCCCAAGGGCAGCGACTCTCCATGGCGGCCCAATTGCCCTCGCACCAACCTTCAAGATGCCCGTCCATGCACGGGACGACGGTCATCCATGGGTCCTCTTCGAAGTCCTCACTGGTCGCTCCGTGGATCGAAGTCACACCGTTGAAATGCCGCACGGATTTCGCACAAGGAGGAAATGGATCTGCTAAGCGAATGTGCGTCTCGGGACTCATAGTCTGTGGTGTCGAGAAGATCGACTCCATGATCCGTGGTGTTGAAAAGGTCGCCTCCATTACGCACCCTACACACCATGCGCACATGCCAAACGACACACACGGGCACGTAGACACTCGTAAACAGAGCTGGTGAACGGGACCTGTTGTGGCCACGCCCACACCTAGTCGGCAAGTCCTGAACTGAACAGTCACGAGGTTCCTGATGCCTTCAAGCACTGCACATGCATAGGGTAATGCTGCTCCGCCCGATGTATGGTCAACTCCAAAGGGCGCAAGGAAAACCAAAGCGGCGTCCAGACTTGATCCGCAATGCGTTCAGTTCGGGAACGGACATAGCCAAACGTTCAGAGGGCGGACTCGGAGAACCATTAGGGTTTCGAAGACGGGGCGAAACGTGGAGTTCGGATCCGGGCGAGCTTCTGTCGTTGTGGAAATCCGTTGGGCGCTAGAAAGACCACAGGCAGAACCCGCATCATGCGAAACCTCGAAGTTCGCCGGGATCCGAACTTGACGATTGTGCGAGGAACCGCGTTTGCGTGGAATGCATGAGGCGCCGTGTCCACCACAACGTGAACATTCGCCGCTATCAGGCTGTCCTGTTTCGCGATCTGCGACCTCTGGTTGAAGACGAAGCATACGTTCGGTGATATGATTCAAGCAACCCTGCAAGGTGATTCCAAATCGGACCGCCGTCAAGTCCGGACTCGAGCAGACCTGGTTGTTGTTCACATCCACAAGCCAGCAGGCGAGCCGCAAACATGTCCCACGAAAGGTGGGAACCTGATGTTCGCCTGGATCTGAACTTGGCGAGACTGCGTGGGAGAGACAAAGCTGTCTCTCGAACTCGCCGACCCAAACTTTCTTGAAGTTCGGATCCCGGCGGACTTCCCACTTTTACAAATCCTCTGCTGTGGTTGCAGCCTGGGTTTGCACCTCGTGTTCGAACAACAGCACATGTTCACCCGCATCCGAACGTTGCGAGAGAGTGATGGAGGAGCACACCGAAGAAAGTGCACTTTCGAAACCCGCACCATGCGAAAAGCGAAGTTCACCGGGGTCCAAACTAGACAACTGTACGAGGAACCCTACACGAGAAGTTCGGATCCCGGCGGACTTTGTGTTTTTCAGAAGCCAAGTTCTGATGGTGTGCGACCTTGACGATTGTGCGAGGAATTGTGCACGCGAAGTTCGGATCCATGGGCCAGCAGGCGAGTCGCAAACGTGTCTTACGCAAGGCGGCAACCTGAAGTTCGTCGGGATCCGAACTCGGCGAAATTGCCTGGGAGAGACAAAGTTGTATACCAAACTCGCCCTCCCTTACTTTTTTGAAGTTCGGATACCGGCGGACTTCACATTTTTACAAGTCCTCGGCTATGGTTGCGGACTGGGGTTGCACCGCGTGTTGGAACAACTGCACAAGTTCGCCCGCATCCGGGGATCGCATGTTTTCTCAACTGGGCATCGAAGCACGGTGGTTGGCCATGTCTATTCCGAATTCGACATATCGCAAAATCGGTCAGCTGAAGAAGTTCGGATTCCGGCGAACTTCGTGTGTCCGACCGAAAGACATCGGTCCCTTCACTCGCCTGCGCAAATCGACATGCTTGGGTGGGAGTGCGAATCGACGGGCGCATCCGAGGACGGACGAAAATGCGAACTTCGCCGGGATCCCGACTTCTTCCGGTGTTTGGTCGCGCGATCAGTTCGGTTGGTATAGCGAAGGTCGTGATTGCGGATTGGGATCCAAACTTCAGCACGATTTCGAGGACTGTGCCGGCGACACGGGGTGTTGTGGCTGCTCAACGTTCGTCGTTCAATGACCGACAAGTTTCAATGACCGACGAGGTTCGACGTCCAACGAGGTTCGATGCCCTCCGAGGTTTGATGTGGAGCCAAGTTCGATGGCCGTCAAGGTTCAATGTGCAACAAGGTTGTAACGAAGTGTTTTTTTGTCCATTCACGGATAGGGATCGACCTTTTTCCGTTCGCGGGTTTCGATCGTGGAATTGATCGATTGCCTTGTGGATGCGTGCCATCAATGAAGAGCAATCGGGACGAGACGAGTGAATCAATCGGCTGACAGATTGGTCGCACTGGTTGGCGGCCGACCGATCTGTCACACTGGTTGATAGCCTTCGACCGAACAGTCGATTGGACAGGATATCTGTCAGGATCAACTGATCAATCGATTGCTCGTTTGGCGGTTGGTGGACTGGTTGATCAACCAATCGACCAACCGCCGACCGAGCAGTCGATCGATTCGTGGATCCTGACAGATCTCGTGACCAATCGACTGTTTGGTCGGAGTCTAACAACCAATTTGATGGATCGGTCGCTCGCAGACCAGTTGATCAATCGTGCAAAGGGGGCTGCCATGAACGACACACGAATTAAACGACCGGAACAAAGGTTATACTAATCACACAACAAACACATGCGCACGCACACATGTACACACACACGCACATCGCAGCGTGTGTTTGGATGTTGCCATTGAGACGGGCGAAACACACACGCGGTGACAACGTTGGCGCAACACACACGATCAATCGACCGATCGCGGGTAATCTGTTACTCTTTCGCGAATGGTCGATTGGATGCGTTTGCTGCCTCGACATTGTCACCTCGTGCTTTGATCAATCATCCATTGGGCGATAACATTAGGGCAGCACACAACATCAATCACCCGATCGCAAGTGGTTTGGTTATGTTTCGTGATGGGTCGGTTCATCTTGTGTGCGGTTTCGACATTGTCACCACGTGCTCGATCGGAGCTTTCGTGATTGATCAGTTCGATACAGCACGAGGTCACACACGCACACACACGCACAAACACACAAACACACACGCGGTGAAAACGTTGGGACGGCACACACGATCAATCGACCGATCACGAGTAATCTGATCGTGTTTCGCGACTGGTCGATTGGATGCGTTCATTGTCTCGACATTGTCGCCGCGTGTTTTGATTGATCATCCATTGAGCAGATCAGCGGCTGTGACATTTGGAAAGCACACAAGATCAATCGAGTGTTGAGACCCGTCATGATCTGATTATTATTCGTGATTCGTCACCGCGTGCTTCTGTGACTCATCAGTTGCATACAACACGACCACACGATATCCGCACACCAGATTACAGTGCTGCGTTACAACCTGCGCAATCTTTAGATATTTTGCGCACATATCACTAATCCCCGAATACAGCAGGCACACACTCGAAACGCAAACCGTATCATTCATCTCTGACCGCACACCTTCGCGCGCATCTCCGCGCGTTCAATCTGCGCTGTCACACACACACGCACACAAACATGCACAAACAGACACACACACAGACACACACCCACACCCATGCACACACGCCATGCACACACACACGCCCCTCAGGTACAGACACACACACAATCCTTCCTCGCACGCGTGGCATACACTTCATGCACACACACAGAAAAACACGCACTCGAACACACACACACACACATGCTCACACAAGCACACACGAGCACGCATGCACACACACACTCACACAAACACACACACACACCCTCCCATACACATACAAACACACACTCGTTCAATCCGCGCAAACATTTCACCAAAACACCGACCCTCACGCGCACACATACACACACACGTTCCGGCTGCGTGCGCACTCACCGTATGAGACCGTCGAGTGGAGATGCGTGCGAACCCGGACGTCAATCGAGACAGCACTGTGTCGACTTTTCGCCGTGTGATTTTTTGTTTGCAATGGTGATGCGTGGAGTGGTGGACACGCCTTTCGAGATCAGAGCCCGGAAGTGTCGATGGGATGTCGACTTGCGGCGTCGAAGATGACGTGGGCAGCGACTTGGAAGGTGGTGGGAGATGCGAGCAGGTCGAGGACATGCGGGGTGGGACTTGGAAGGTGGTGGGAGAAACGAGCGCGGTGAAGAATGGGTGTCCTTTCGCTTTGCCAGCTATGGCGCTCCAGCTGAGCGGGGCGCTGGTGTTGACGACAGTGGCGGTGTGAGGCGACCGTCCGGCAGCATCTCCCTAGTAAAAACGCAAAAGGCGGTGTTGATGCCCCGGGCGCCGCTCGTATTTGTAGGCGCGCGGGTCTCGGGTACCCTTCGGGTCTTCGCGTCGCCGCACGACTGCTCGATTCGCGCATCGTGCGGTGGCTGCACGTCAAAATTCCGGTGAGGGGGACCCGGTGCGCGCGGCATGACAAAAAGGTCCCCGCGGACTAACCCTTCCCGATAGTCATGAAAAAAGGGCCCTTCTTCCTGGCCCCTTCCGTTCGTGTCGTCGAGTTCGCGGACCCCGCTCGAGGGGGTCTCAGACCGCGCGGGGGGGCGGTTTGTATTTTCTAGTCTGGGGGGGGGGGGGGGGGGGGGGGGGGGGGGGGGGGGGGGATGGGGGTCGGGGGTCGGGGGCTGGATTCGGCAGTGAGGTCCGCCCGACACCGTCTGGCCGTCCGATTTGCGGATCGGACGACCATCGTGCGTCTTCTCACATGACGTCTGTGCCGATTCGTGCGCAGGCGCCCAACGTGCGTCTTCGAACGTAGCGTGGGGTACGATGCCAGTTGAACAGCTGCCCGGGGTCTGGTGCAGCTCGTTTCCATCTCCTGCCCCTCGAGCGCAAACACGCGCGGCGTCACGTCCGCGACGTCCTCCATCGCCTTCGTTTATCCACTGTCGCGCCACGTGTCTCCAAGAGTGCGCGTAAGGGTTTCCTCTCTTCATCGTGTCAGTCGACTCGTTCCCGCTCATCCGGCCGCGCATGCATTCCAGTTGACTAAGCTTCGACAGCCCGTCTTTGCGCTCCACGTCAATGTGTGTCCGCCGTCGTCTGCGCTCCGCCCTCGTGAGATGGTCGAGCTCACCGCTCAAGGTACAATGTTGTTTTGTCTACCCACGTGTCAGCCATCGCCTGCAACTGCTGACGTTGGCATTGTGGTACATGCTTGTGTGCGCATGAGGCCCGCTGCATCATGCCACGTGTCGCAGCAGGCGGGTACTGCTGTCGTTGCACATGATGTCTGTGGTTCCTTCTCTTGTCGCGCGTCCATTGCATCCATCCCTCCATTCCCGCATTGGGCCACATGATGTCTGTGGTTCCT